GGTGCTGGTGTGAGGTGAAAATCCTCCACCTCAGACGTTCACAGATGTAACTATCTGCGATACTGTGGTCACTCTCCATGTAGCATCAATTATGCTAATGCTAGCTGCCTGTCACGTTCTCTCGTCCTGGCCACACCTCCGCCTCCGCTCTCTAAACCCTGCTCCCCTACCCACACCCCCTCCCCTACCCACTTTGATGCATTTTTCAAATTTCACCTTGGGGCGGAGTTATCTTTTCACAGTGGGGGGGGGGGGGTAAGATACACTTTAAGAACAGAGACTCTATAAACATAAGTTAACCATTGTTCAAATAATCCAGATGCCCTAATTTCCCCTCCCGTTGGTACCAACATGCAGCGTGACTCGGCCTCTCTGGACACAAGTCAAGCAGGGCAAATGCTCGGTTGCAGCAGGCAAACCAACGAGGACAAAGTGCAGATTAGGAGGCAGCTGGCTTTCAGAAAAGTAGACATAAGGTCGTTACGATAACAATCATATCACATGTCAGGGATGAGCCATGGAGACTGATTTCTTACAAGTTATGGACTAAATTTAGTGACAGTTACTTAGTAGGGCTGTTTAACATATGGAAAATTTATAATGATTGCAATATTGGTGAGCATATTAGCAATACAGAAAGAGACTGCAATAAATTATAGGCCATTTTAAATGACATCATGTTCTACATGCTAATAATATATTGGACTCTGTATATTGGACACACAGACGGCTGTGGAGCATTAAGTGCAAAACAACGAGACTGAGGAACAGCTTCATTCTTGAAGCGATTACTGACCAAACACTAAATGAAAGAAAAAACACCAATGGGAACAAAATGCTGCAGCTAAAGCTGAAATACTTGACTATCAACTACCACTGTACTGATACTAAGTCACCTTATTCATCCTGAGCAAACCATTCATGCTGCTATATTGTATATACAATTTGTTACTATGGCTCATGTTGCTGCCACCCACCTCTCCATGATGCCATTACTACTGTTTTTATTACTGTTTCTACTTCTCTTTAAATTAAGTATTACTTTATATCTTATTGATTTTTCATGTATATATTGCTCTGGGGTTAAACCAGGACTGTGGGTACAGAATTTCGTTCCACCACATGTAAAACGTGATGTGAATGACAATAAACTCTCCTTGATCCTTGATGTATTTGTCACTGAGCTTGATGCCCACATCTGGTTTAAATGATTAATATGATATAGACGTAAAAAAGGATTTACGAATATTATCATTTTAATGTTGTGCAATACTATTAATTAGCAGCAAAAAACTTGCATAATTTGTTTAATTTACCAAATAAGGCCTGCAAAAAAGTCATCAAGTCTGTGAAGGATAAGCAAGTTGTTAAAGGCTAAAACTGTATATCTTTACAAAATAGAAAATAAAATCTAATTTGTCTGAATTAAAGTCCAAATTCAAATATTTCTGTCATAATTCAAATAAAAGACAAATGTCATACCATATCAATAAATGTAATGACTCCTTAATTAACAGCATATACATACRTTATCAATTGTCTAAAATGTCTACACTCAAATTTAATAATGGTTAATAAAGTTGATTTTTTTACAGCATTGAAAGAAGGTAAACAAAAATATTCTGCATCAGCCCACATTACTAAACCTGTTCACTTAATTTGATCATATATATATATA